TTCAGTTAATGTGTTTTTTTAGGCAGTACTGGCAATCAAACTCAGGGCCTTGTGTATGTTAGGCAAGCACTCTGTCACTGAGCTACCTCCTCAGCCCTTTTTTTCTTTTAACATTATATTTTTATGATTCATTTGGGTTGTTGGATCTAGCTATAGATGTTCATTTTCGTAGCCGTATAGTTTTTTACATTGTATGAATAGACCATACTTTATGGGTGCATACTGTTGATGGACATTTGAGTTGTTTTCAGTTTGTGGTTTTTATGAATACTTTTTCTAATAACTTTATTGTATGTGTCTTAGTGTACATATGAATTCATTCTCTTTGAATATATACCTAAAAGTGGAATTGATGGGTCAGAGTGTATGTTTACATTTAGTTGATATTGACACTGTAGCATTTTCACCAATATTTTATATTGTTAGTTTTAGTCTTATTAATTTTAGGTTTCCAGTGGGTGTGTTGTGGTTTAATTGTGGATGTATTATGCATATTTCTGGTTACTAATAAAGAAGAATAGCATTTCACTTATTAATCAGCCATTTGGATGTGTTCTGTTGTGAAGTGTTCATTTCATCCATTTTTTACACACACACACACACTTGTAGATAGACACAATATCTTTATTTATTTATTTATGTGGTGCTGAGTATTGAACCTAGTGCCTCACACGTTCAGGGCAAGTGCTCTACCACTGAGCTACAACCCCTGCCCTCACCAATTTTTTTTTTAAACTGAGTTGTTTGTGCTTTTAAGAAATAAATTTGTGAGATGTCCTTTATCCATGCTGAGTACAAGTCATTGTCAACTATATATTTGTTTCAAATATCTTCTCCTACTTTGTGATGATGATTTTTTTACTTTCTTCATGTCTTTTGATGTGTGTAAGTTCTTTTGGGGTGGGTACCAGGGATTGAACTCAGGGACACTCAATCACTGAGCCACATCCCAGCCCTATTTTGTATTTTATTTAGAGACAGAGTCTCACTGAATTGCTTAGCACCTCACCATTGCTGAGGCTGGCTTTGAACACTCGATTCTCCTAACTCAGCCTCTCAAGCCACTGGGATTACAGGTGTAGGCCACCATGCCCAGCTTTGATGTGTGTAAGTTTGTAATGTAGTTCTTGGTTATTTCCTTTATGAGTGGAGATTTCTTTGCCCTTTTTGAGAAATCTTTGCCTTTAAGAATGTCCTCTTGGGATTGGGGTTGTGGCTCAGCAGTAGAACCCGGGCCTAGCAGGTGTGAGGCCCTGGGATTGATCCTCGGCACAACATAAACATAAATAAATAAAGGTATTATGTCAAACTACAACTAAAAAAAAAAAAACAACAACCCAAACAAACAAACAACAACAACAAAAACAGAAAATGTCTCTTTAGTCACAAAGCCATTCTTTTGTGTGATTATCTTACAGTTTTATTCACCTGCAGTTTTATTGTGGGTGGTGTGACAGGAGTTCAGATACTTTTCCTCCATATCCACTTGATCCAACACTGTTTACTGAAAACATCTTCAATGCTTCCTTTGTTTTAAACTGAATGCATATATATGTGCTTAGAATAAAGAAAAAAAAATTTGTTAGGGTTTTATCACATGCAGGTAGTCATTGCTTGTTACTGAAATAAGCCAATAACTTATTTACTTAGCCATTCTTATTTATATATTTTTCCTTCTTCTACATGGCTAGTCATTTGGCAGATGAAGACTCTGAGACCCAGAATTTTGGTAGGGAGTTGGTGAGAAGCTGAAGGCTTCTTGACTTCTAGGCCATTGGCCATTGGTGCTTATATTGTTCTTCTTGGTGGTGCTTCGCTAGCAGGTGTAGGGTATTGGGAGTAACTCTTTGTGGGTACACAAGGTTTGCTTTTTCAAGTGTTTAATGAAGCTTTGCTTTTTCAAGTAACAAGTTTATTTATTTATTTGTATAAACCTTTATTGTTTTGTAGGTAGTACTTTGAATCCTCAAGATACTGGATGCATATTAAAGATTTTTTTAACCTTTGCAGGGAAAAGCATGGATTAATTTTGCACCCCCCCCCCCCCCCTTTTACCAGATGTTTCACTTTTTCCACCAGTATATAGTCTCAAGAGTTAACTTTATACTGTTGCATTCATTTGAAACAAGATATTCTTTTGTCATAGTGGTTACAGTCTTTGATTTTTCAGAACAGATATTTTTGCCTCTCAAATACTGTTTTTTTTTTGTGATTTCCAAATTTCCTTTTGGATACAGCCCTCTAAAGTTAAAGTTCTGTTTTTGTTTACCTTTATATTTATATCAAAGCCATTCTTTTTGTTAAAACAACTGAAATACAATTTATAAAGCCATTAAATCAAATAGTTTAAAGGTAATAATTATATATTTTTTATTTGTCCGATATTTTTAAAAATATAATTTCTGATCATATGCTCCTGAACTGAGAGTTCAAAAATAAACGCATAATTATAAAGCCGTTGGTTTTCATCAGATGTATTAAGATCATTCAATGGGGAAAGACTAGTCATTTCAACAAATATTGCTGTAAAAACTGAATGTCCACTTGTAAAAGAATGAAATTACTCTTTCCCTCACAACATATCCCAAAATTAACTCAGAAAGAAGCATAAAACCAAAAGTAGCTAAAATGATGAAACTCTTAAAAAGCACGACACCAAAAGCATATGCAATTAAAGAAAAAAATTAGATAAATTTAATTTCATCACAGTTAAAAAACTGGTTTTGGATGGCACTATCAGGAAAGAAAAAGAAAACCTATACAGTGGGAAATTTGCAAGTCAACTATTATATAAGAAACTTATATCTTGAATACATAAAGGACTTTCACACCTCAATAGTAGAAGGGACAGATAATCCAATTTTAAAAATGAACGTAGATTTCTTATACATATGGCCATAAGAACATAAAAAGATGTTTAATAAAATTTAGTTATCTGGGAATACTGATCAAACTGTAGTGAGATACTGCTTCACATTCCCCTAGGGCAGCTAAAATTAAAAAAAAATAATGATGAGGCTGTAGAACAATTGAAACATTCACAGGAATATAAAATGATACAGCAACTTTGGAAAAGTTTATAATTCCTCCAAATGTAAAATGTAGAGTTATCACATGACTCAGCAGTTCTATTTCTAGCCACATACTGAACAGATAGGAAAATGTGTCTTCACTAAAACCCTTACATAGGTGTTTATAACAGCATTATTCATAATGGCTAAAAAATGGAAACACCTTTCATCTACATATGTCCTGATGAGCAGATAAACAAAACACAGTATATTCATTCAATGGAATATTACTTGGCCCTAAATAGGGATGGCTACAACATGCATGAGCCATGGAAGAAGACAGTCACAAAAGGCTGCATATTTTATAATTCCATTTGTATTAAATGGCCAGTTATAGTAACTCATAGGCAGAGGCAGGAAGTAGATCAGTGGTTGCCTATGACTGGAGAGAAGAGGGTCAATGGGGAATGATGCTAATGGGTGTGTGGTTGTTTTGGGAGGTGTGAAAATATTATAAAACTGATTATGAGAACAGTTGTATAACTATGGATATATTAAGAACAACTGAACTGTATATTTTTTTCTTTTTGGAGTACTGGTGTTTGAACCCATGGCCTCACATAGGCTAAACAAGCACTGTACCACTAAATTATACCCCAGCCCAGTCTCATGCTTCTTAATATCTTCTGCTTTTTTTGTTAAACAGCTCTCTTAAATTCTCTCCTTTTTGTTCCTGGTCTGTCTGGATTTCATTCTGAGGTGTCAGCTTACAATTTTAATGTTCTCTTCTTTCTCATGTCTACATCTTTCTTCTGGGCAACCTGCCTACTATGTGTTCAACCCTCTGGAAGCTACTACTCTGTAGCATGAAGGGACCTGTGTCTTTCCACTGACATACTTTCAGATATGTAAATAGTTGTGTTTTTTGATTAGTGGGGATAGGAAAAGAGGTTAGAAATCTGTTATAATGAAATGTTAGAAATCTGTTATAATCTCTAAAGGATTTTCAACTGAAAAAAATTATTTTTGTTATTTCTTACTGAAATTAGCTAATGGCTTATTTCTAAAAATACTTCTATCTGTGATTTATAAGAAATAACAGGATGTGGATTAAGGCTTACATAAGGATTTACGAGATAAACTTGTGACCGAAATATAATAGTAAGCCAGAGGAAAATATTTGGCATTTAACGACAATACGACAATGGTCTCCTCTCTTCCCCAAATCAATAAGTCATGAATTTAATAATAAACCATAGCATGATACATTATAGAGTTGAAGAAAAAGCAAACTTAAAAAAAATTACTGTCAGCATGATCACTCTGAAGATAATTTTTATGTGAATATAAAACCATCAGAAATGCTACAGTTAAGTTCTCTGGATGGTGGGAATGTGTGTTGTATTTTTTTCTATTTATAGTTACTAAATTCCTTTTATAATAAGTATTACATTTGTAATAATAACATTTTTGATTGAAAAAGGCGATAGCAGTAGTATAGAAAGAGTAATTATCCTGAATATAAAATTAGTAGTACCAGTGGAATTGTTGTTGTATGAAAATAGATTGACAGGGAAAGCATCAGATTATCAGTCTCATCAGCATTACTTTAGTTCCTAATGTTTTAAGTTTTTATGTTTGCCTTTTTTTTTTTTTAACAAAAAAAAATGTTTGGTTGACTAAGTAGATTTGTTATAAGGTTGCAACTGGAAAATTTTTGCTGGGTTTGGAAAAATAGTTTTACAATGAAACTGCATTGTGGGAAGTTGTCTTTTTACAAATATACCTGCAAGAATGTAGAATCCTACCTACATTTGGCTTTTTCTCGAAGAGTGGTTAGGTTTTGTGTCTTCTTTCAGTGAGTTACTTATAGACAACAGTTGTATAGTGAACCAGCTGAATCCCTAGAATTGTTTTCTTCCTAAGAGAGATGGTGATGGAAATTCTTTCTATTCACATGTGTAAAAACTATTTATTCTTTATTCCCAGATTAGAAAGAATATTTGCCAAATTTGATGAAGTACACAATTCGGGTGGTATGATATTGAGTGTCTGCAAAGGTAAGAGTAATTTAAGTTATTCCAGCTTTCAAACAGTTCTAAGATTATTTAGCCAAGTTTTAGACACTATGAATTGTGTTTTCAAATCAACTATTAAATAGCAAATTCAAAGAGTTGATTTTGTAGTGTGAAACATTACCTGTGCGGGGGGGTGGGGTGGGGGGGGTTGGGGGGGTTGGGAGGTGGGGGGGTTGGGGTTGTGGCTCAGTGGTAGAGCGCTTGCCCTGGGGTTTGATTCTCAGCACCACATAAAAATAAATAAAGGTCCATTGACAACTAAAAAAATAAAAAGAAAGAAAAATTACCTAGGTACAGTAACAAAAAAGTTTATATTTTGCTGATTATTATCTACCCTTGGACTGCTTTTAGAGTAAGTAAAATTTTAATAATGGTGTTGTAGTGTACAATGATGCCATTCTTTTGCCTTTGTGTTGTGTGTGGGTTGAAGATGTATTATAATCCTCTTGTCCTTCATGTTACATGAATGAAGTATGTTTTTATGCCCAGAGTAATTGTTTTACTTCGTTGTTTTTACTAGAAATTGTATAGTGGATAAACTCTCTTAAACCTGTGTGTAGACTCTCAGTGATGATACTAGTGAATCCTTCAAAATTTCACTATAGAATAATCTTTTGCTTCTTAAATGGAATGAGACCAAGTTGGAATTTTGGAGAGATTTGGAATTAGCATCCACATCCACAAATCAGTTGTCATTTATTTGATTTTGTGGTTAGGTTAATAAATTGTGTTTAGTTTTATTGGGTAGCACTTACCTGACTTAAATCATTAAATATTAATTAGCCAGGTGTGTGAAGAATATGTTCTGTTTCCGTAGATAATATAGATGATTTTTTACCCCCTAGGAAAGTAGCTTCATATTAGAGAGAGTGGTTAGCTTGGTAATGTAAATGACATTGGAGAAAAAATTTTTTGTTTGAGTATATAGTTAAGGAATAATAAAGCTAGTTAAAAATACAATGTAGTTTTTCTTTTTTCCTCTAGGTTAATCCAAAACTGTTTCATTGTGTTGCAAAAAGTCAAATGGAGTGAGAATTTGGTGTTATAAACATTGTATCTATCCTAGTTTAAACTTAATTCAGAAATACAAATTGTCTTTAGTGCTACCAGTTCTCACCCTGACTGCCAGCCATTTCTCACTTCTGGTCTGAATAGGTGTTTAAATTCTTCTCTTAAGTTTTGTAACAGTTATATCTATCCATGTCTATAGAAATGCAGAAAAAGCAGGAAAAGAAAGAGTTGTTAAATTCCTTGAACGGAGACTTGTGTTTTCATAATGTCATCATTTGTATATTCCAGACTGTAGTTATAATTTTAAGGCAAAATGTATAATATATCTTATAAAATTTAAGGATTCATTGTTTGAATGTGGTTTATTTTAAAAGCACTGTCATTCTTACATTTAATGAAATTATTTCTGTTACCTTTGGAATGGAAGCATTTTTTTCCCCTTGATTCATTTCTTTTTGTCTTATCTCTCCATAAACAGAGAGGTTTGAAGTTAGTATCTGGCATTTTTTTTCTTGGATTCAATATATCAGAGATTATATTGGAGATTATGATCTAAATATACTTGTATTTTATGCAAGTATGTGAAAATTAGTCTATAATGCACATTTTTAGGGTAAAGAATATAGTTAAGATGTTTTTCACAGCAGTACATTTCGCCTGGTTTCAGCTGTTTCCACATCATGGAGTTGGTATCCTCAGGTAAACAACTGCAGATTAAAACTGTAGTTTGCCTTGCGATGGTTGCCTCTGTACCGAACATAATTGTCAAATCTGTACTTTGAAGTTCTGATTGAATTCTTTGATTTGATTTTCCAAAGCATTAGTTTAACACACTCAAGAAGACTAAGTAAATTTTATCAGAACTTTGAACATACCATTTAATTTGGAAATAGTGATAAATGTACTTTTTTGTTGTAGTTGTTATTGTCTTAAGGATTTTTCAAGCATGACTTTAATTCTCATATTACAAAAGTTAAGTTAGGCAGAGTCCCAAAGTGCAGTAGAATTAGAAGGACCTGGAATTAAAAATAATCAGATTGTGGCTGAAAGGAGGCAACACTTCCCCAGTAAGAAGGAAAAAACTGAAAGTTGGAGAGTCCCTGTGATTATGGCAGGGTCTGGTATCATCATGGAGCTTTCTAGACAATATTCTATACTAACCAAGATGTAATCATCAGCAGTGTTGGCGACTCTAACTGTAAGTATTTTTTTTCACTGTGAAAATAGCTGTGCATAATTCTGATTTGTTTGGTGTGTATATAGGACCTAACACAGTGTGGTTTGTAATCATGGTAAAGTATTTCTAGTTTCTCTGTTTTAAATAGTTGCTAGAAAGGGAATTAATTGCTTCTAAAGACTTAATAATATAAATCATGGACCTTAGGCTTTTAAATTACCTTGATACTTGGTTTATATGAGTCAATAAGGTAACTTCCAGTTTCGTTTTGTTTATTTTTATAAACAAAATAAACAGGTGCCTATCATTTGGTGAAAAGCAAAGCAACTCTTTTTTTAGGCTGATTTAAAAGCATATCTCTCTGGGACCCTGAACCCCAGGGCCTTCTTAGAGCTTGATAACATCCTGATGGTTGTGCAGCTTGGATAGAGGGTGCTCTGCGTCCCTGCAGCTGCGCACTGGCTAGGTTCTGTTTCTACCAGAAGCAAGCTTTGTTTCCTGTGGCCCTGCTGTCCCCACACAGAGCAGCCTTTGATGGGCTGCCTTTGACGTGATTTGTTTACGGCAGCCAGAAATGCTTCCTGCATAATGAAAGCAGTTAATCATGGAAACTGGGCTATTCCTGTTTGTGTACTTCTAGCAGTCTTCTGTTGTAAATATTAAAAGGTAATGACAAAGGGATGAAAACCTTTTTTAAAAGGTACAAATCAGTTAATCCATTCGATCATGTGATTGCTACTGATTACATGGGTATCTTTAGGGAAGCAGAAAATGATTGCTGAACACATGCCTTGTGTTTTGATGATTGCATTAAAAGTCCCCTAGTGGGATGGCATTTACTGACTCCCAGAGCTTTTCTTAGATTAAATTTCAGGCAGCCAGTACAAGGAGAAACATCACCACCTGTATCTAACAGCATATGTACAGTTAAAGAATAATCTTGATCAAGCCCTGCTAGGCTCTGCTAAATAAACGAAGGTTTTCAGCAAGACCCCAGACTTTTATTTTGAAGTGGAGTAGCAGCTGTTGGCTATTGCGGTGCAGAGCTGCAGCGCGGCCTGGGTCACACAGTGCTCCGGGTGTCTGCAGGCTGCAGGCCGAGCCCAGTGGCGCAGGCACTGAGCTACACTTATTTGCTGTGCTGTTTGACCTCTTGGTTTGAGAGAGCTCCCTGGACCATCTGAATGGCTATGGGAGATGGTGAGTAAGATTTATTTTTCCTCTTTTGCTGTGTTATACACTTCCTTTTAAGGTGCCGATCATTTGCTATTAAGAAACGTATTTCTCCCTAAAGAATGAAGGACATTTCTGTGTTTGTGTATGTGTGTGTACGCTCATGTATACATTTATGCATGTGTGTGCTTGTCATTTGGTATCTTTTTTCACTTGATGTGTCTGTATGGGATCTTGCAAACATAAGGTGACAAATTTAGCTTGCAATCTAAGCAAGCCTTCAGTCTTTGGTATTGGATATGAAGGGATATTGGAAGAAACGTGGAATGTATGCAAAAGCTTTTGAAGGGAGAACATGGCCTTTGGAAGAATGACAGATTTTGGCAGGAAGGTTTGATTAGCTAGCTTGGCATCTTTCCTGTTGTATTCGATGCAAGTAGAATTCTGTGCTAATCAAATATTTAAAGAAGCAAAATGGCTTGCCATGGACACTATTTTAATTAGTATGCTTGTGATTTGTCAGTGTATCTAGTAAACAGTTCTTTAGAAAATAGCCTTTTAAGAATTCTCTACAGGATATAATTTTATTAAAATTTTTTCAGTATTTTATTTTGTTAAGGATAGTCATAAAAACAATATTTCTATAGTGCTTTATAGTTTGCAAAAGGACTTTCATGTACTTAAAATATTTTAATTCGGGTACAAATCCAGGAAGTATGCAGAATATTTTGGTATTTCCATTTCACAGATTAGGAAACTGAGACTTGCTGAAGATATGTTGATCCAGACAGAGAAAACAAACTACACAAAATCTAAAGTCCCAAGTGAGCATGTGATATTGTTCTTCATAACACTTAATCCTTGAGCCTATTTCCCCTAGTGTTAAACCTTTTGTTAAGATGCTTAAAGGTATATTTTGTGATCACACCAGTATGTGAGATATGTGCAAAGGTGAATATAAAGTTTCTCAAAAAGTGCTTTGCATGTTTTTTACTAGGCTCTTCAGGAGGACTTGCTTGTATTTGGATGTTTTAACTCTTAACAATTTCAGCCTTCTTGGGTCTATATTATGACCTCTTTTATCTAAGGAGTTTGTCTGTCTACTTGGAGCCATGCCCATTAAGATGTAAACTTGCCAAAATGATGGTATTGTCATTTAAACTATTATGCATATTCAAATGGAAATATAGTAAATTTGATTTTGCACATTGTTGTGATTTATTCCAAAAATTTATTTCAAGAATTTATGTAACTTTTTATATGACCTTATGGAAATAAATAAGAATGTAATTTTACTGCTGATTTTTAAGGCAAAAGACATCAAATTAAGTTCTTATATATTTAAGAATATTGCAAAATTTCTTCCCTTTAAAAAAACACAAACAAACCTTAATTTGCAGGCATCTTTAAACGTTGTATTTGGTTTGGACCAGGTCCACATTTCATTTTCTTAAACATTTTGGGTTCATTGGGTAGTAATGTAGATCTTAATTTTTCTCTTTTCAAATAACAAATAAATACATTCAGACAGTTTAGAAATGTATTGATTTTTTTTTTTTTTTAAATCAGAGTAACAATCACAAAGCTTAGAGGGTAACCTTTCAAATAATTTTCTTCTTTA